CCGTTGCCAAGCAAGAATGAATAGTGAGTCATTCATAAGTTATGTAAACGTATGTAACTAAGCCACCGTTGCCATGCGAATGCGGGATAGTTTTAGAAATATGGTCACGTGATACAGGTAGCTTTTTTTTTTACCTCATATAAAAACAAACAGCCCTAACTGGGCTCGTAAAATGCCTCAAAAACTTGATAGGTTGTTGGAGAAATATACATATATTGAAATAGTTTATCAATCTAGAGCCAAAAGATAACATTTTGAAGACGGTAGTTTTCAAATGTTTCCATGATAGCGAAAAAATCGTAAATAAAGCGTTTAGAACAAAAAAAACGGCCTCTGAAACTACGACCCAAGCCAACCAGGTCCATTCGCAAAGAAGATGGCATAAGGCTATGATTATATGAAATAAAAAGACCCACAAAATGTCAATGCCGTAAAGCTGGGCATATCTCCTGGTAATGTTAACAAGTTACAAAAACAGGATTTTTAAGTTGACAAAGGTTCATTCACAAAGCTACGGGCTACACTTAGAAATTTATTGTTTCTTTTCAATGGGAAATATGACCAAATAAACTGGAACCACAACAATGTTGCCTGACTCAATATACAAGTAAAGTCCCTTGTTAAAGCTGCAACAGACTTTTGAGACTTAGTTCTTTAGGCCTACTCAAGCGTACACTTGGAAGGCATAGCTCTATGACATTAATGGATTTATGGAAAGTTGCACAAGTGGAATCTGTGATAACATTGATATGTCTACTCCCCCCAAGAAGTCTGATCAAGAAATGTTGCTGCAAAGTGATTGTTAAGAAGCAGATAGATCATGACTGTTGACTTTTAATAAATATTTAAAAAAATAAAACTTCCATACGAGTCATTTATTACAAATGTCGCTACTTTTTGAATATTTTTGCAAATCTGATGTAAAAAAAAAATCAATACAGAGAATAGGAAAATAAGTGGCACGCGGAATATTTCTTGGGTAGCTTTAAGCATGGTCATCAAATTTGATAAATGTATTGCGTCTGCACACTTACAACGCTAGAAACCGGGTTTCGATACCTATGGTGGGCAAAGCACAGATACCGCACCACTGTGCAGTTTTGTGGTTAATTACGAACATACAAAAAATGTATTGCACTTTCATAGTTTGAGTCAAATCAATAACTTTAAGATAAACAATCGTTCATAAACGTTACTATGATATAATTAGCCAACATATAAGATTAAAGAAGCCAAGCTTAGATGACATTCGTTTACATATTCCAAACAACAACAACAAATGTTTGGGTTAAAGAGTTCAAACTCAACAACAACAATTTTATAACATCAAACTGTTTACTGTTCAAGGCCAGAATGTACTGATTTTAATTTTATGATGATAAAAGTTAGATCATAATACAAAAAGGCATAAATATTTATCATTAGTATATTGGGTTAATGGATAAAATAAGAAATCTATCTTTGGACATCATATTTTTAACAATGGTTCCTAGTTTACTTCACTTACTAAACACGCTTGTTTTATAATGTTATAACACTTAACAACAAGGCAAGAGGAAGGAAGGGTCAATAATATATATAAAAAACTTTCAGAAAGATTAACAACAACTTCACAAACATTCTAAACAACAATGTTATATGTGATTTCTTTTAATGTCAAATATTAATATAAATGAAACAAAATTGAGCCACACTGGCTGAGAGCTGTAACAAAAAAAAGATCTACATTTCTCAGTTATGAACTAAATTAAAAGCATATCCAAATACTACATGTACTTTCGCAGGGTCCCGGAAAGTGTTGTGTTTCAAGAGCAAATAAAACCAAAGTTTAAAATAAATATATTTATTTCTTGCTTTTGAATTTCGTATGTCATGCTGTGTTGTAGTCTACAGAGTCCATAATTCTTCTTGTGATTCATGGCATAAGCAAGTTTTACTGACATCACAACAATACAAGTTGCAACGTTAAGAGTCCCTTACGTGACGTCATTTTTGTGTCTACTTCTACTGACTGACTGACGACAATACATTACTGTATAGTGGTGCGAGAGGTTAAAACAGGTGACCCCTCCAGGAAGCCTCTGCACACACACCCCCCCCTCGGGGAAATAACAAGGATGATCGTTCTAACTACATTAATGGTACAATGTTCAATATGTATAATATTGACAGATGTCGCCAGTGGTTTACTAGTTTAATGTTATCTTGTGTACAATTGTCATAGTTACATAGAATTTTAGATAAAAGTAACTCCCATTAACTGCTACACACTCAATCTATATTAATAATCTACAAAACAGCCAACTATAAGTTAAAACTACAAGTAACGATAAATATTGTACCAAATCCAGCAAACTGTGTGCCTCGGAAAGAATGACACGTTGTTTGTTTTCAGCCGAGTTAAGTTTTACCTATTAGAGCACTGTAAAATAACATTACACTAACAGACAACACATCCTACAACACCATCTGATGTGTATA